AAAAAAAAAGAGAGAGCTTAATTGATACAAATTTAGGTACATCACTTGTTGTATGCTAATGAACTATATGCAAATCTTGCTCATGGTCATAGATTGCTGTATTAAGATGAAGTCTGTTTCACGAATCCAGACTTTTGGATATACTCCCTCACTATTCTTTCCTCGGTCCTCATGGCGCTTTCTTCAGTTATATCTGTTTACAGCATGAGTCATTAATGTTATATATAAAAAAAGATTATAAAACTGTGTTGAACAGAGGGTTTCTTATATTTTATTGTATTATGTCATTTGCATAAATCATAAATGACTGCTGAAATTCAGGTTTACAAGTCGTGTTTATGCAACCTTATTTTCATTACTTTGAGAGAATAGATGTTTGTATCATCTTATTAGCCAAGTTGGAGCTCTTTTTACTACTCTATATATTTATTGCTATCACTTGTTCTTTTTCTACAGTTATTTAGTTTATAATGTATGTGTTATTGATCACATGTACCACAATGTAATATCAAATAACTGTCCTATGCCGCACATGATATTTCACCTTTTTTTTTTCTTCTTTTTTATATTTCTTATCTCTTTTTGTATGGCACAAGCATCCTTTACGACAACGGTCAAAGTAGAGGATCGAGACAATAATAATAACTTTATAAGTTACTCAAATATGAACATGGAAAACAAAAGAAAGAAGACGACAAGGGCATGCCTTCATTGTCAAAAAGTACTTATTAACACGGTTCATGTTTGCATTATCTAATAATTATCTCGACAGGCTCATTTGACTTGCGATGAATGTAAGAATAAAGATAATACATGGTGAATAAGTATCTCTCATCCCTTCTCTTTTTTTTTTTTTATATCAACCAGCCAGACCATGTGAACGGTGTATCAAAAGGGATCTAGCAGACACTTGTATTGATTCTGTTAGGAAAAGAGCAAAATATTTACAAGACACGCCTAGTGATTGTAAAAAGAAAAGAGTCAGGATCATCACATTTATTATTATCTAACCAACTTTTTTTTTCTTGAAGCATTTTCAAATAATGGTCCTGCACTACAGCCACAGTCATCTGTTTCTCTAGAATTAAAGCCTTCAATCATGGGTAAAGTACCCATCCTGTCTGTTATATTATGTACTTATGTCACTTGTAGATACCACAGCCCAGAACTTTCTTTATCCAGATCAGCTCTTTGATTTTTCTTTATCCGAATTAGGATTTGGATCAGAGACAGTCGGCTTAGAATATGGCTTCATTGGGAATATGTTACAGAACCCACTCGATTTAACATCTGCATTTACTACAAACAAGTCGAGTCCTGTCAGTACGAGCACAACATCTAACATGACTACACCCTATATGCCTCAACAAATGAATCAGCAGAACCTATATGGTGCCAGCAGTTCTTCGTTTGATCCAACTATTTCTTCAACCAAACAACTAGTAAAGTTAAATAATACAAACGATAGATTCATGATGAAGAGGCCCAGCACATCTTCTGTGACTTCAGGAAGTACTGTGATGTCAACAGGAAGAAGAAAGGGTGTCGGAGGCACGCCTGAGGAGGTGTACACCAACATCATGAAACCGTACAATTACGCTGAAGGATTTCATTACCTCATTCAATATGTACGACAAAAGTAAGATTTAGGTTACTCTATTTGCAGCAGAAATATTGACACTATACCATAGAATGAACAAGGAGGACCTCATGCAAATCAGTCGAGCGCTGGCGCTTTTTCGACCATCGTTTCTAGCCTTGATTATGAACCTGACAGAAGAAGATCTAGTGTTTATGGAAAAGTGCATTCAAAGAACATTGTTAGAGTATGAAAAACTGATTAGTTTTTCAGGCACGCCAACGGTGATATGGAGAAGAACAGGTGAAATATGTTTGGTCGGTAAAGAGTTTTCTTTACTGACTCAATGGACAAAAGATATGTTATTGAGCAAGAAAGTATATATTTATGAGGTATATGAGTATATAACCCTTTAGTAAAGTTATTTCTCTAATACATACTATCTAGCTCATGGACAATCAATCAGCAGTGGAGTATTGGGAAAAGTTTTCAAAACATGCCTTTGACAATACAAATAAATCCTGTACGTATTCATGTATCATCAAGACCCCACAACAAAAGCCAGTACCGTGCACATTCTGCTTTACTATAAAAAGGGATATCTTTGACTTACCAAGCGTCATTGTTGGAAATGTGAGTTTGGTATAAACATTGTGTGGTATATAATAACCTTTATTTAGTTTTTGCCTATCCTAAGTTAACCTGTAACAAAGAAAGATATAGAAGAGTTGCTATGTATATTTATTATGAACCACCACCTTTGTATATTCAATTGATTGGTGACTATAACAAAATATTATCTCCTTGACGAAATTTAATTTATTCATAGGCTTATTAAATTACTCATATTCAATAAAATCAACCATTCAAGGACGTTAAACTCACAACTGTACCTCTTGATTATCTATTTAATTGATCTAATGAATGAGCAAGACCAATAAAAAAAGCACTAGTAGGATATGCAGCGTATTAATGCACCATCCCCTATCTTTTTCGGAACATACATGACATTAAACTCACTGTTACTTGACAAGGCCACACCATTTCAAAAAAAAAAAAAAGCATTCTCCCCTGTTTGAATTTCACTGTATTTCCACTAAAGTGGAGCCCCATGGGGTTTCATCCAAATCATAATATTGTAGCACAGTCTTTGCAATTTAATACAAAGCTGTTGGCTACGCACTATGACCCAAAGAACATTACGACACTTCAATCTTGTATGAACTATTCACGTTAGCGCGCGCACTCTCGGTATCAATAAGTTGATCGTATTTGAGTAATAGTGACCTAAAGAATGCGAAACACTAAAGAGTGGCAATTGTAAAAGGAGAAAAGATCAAAAAAGATACTATCAAAGCTGTACTGTTCCTTTGATTGATTTGAAATGATAGTGAATCCATACTGTTCATTTTAGAATGTCTTTTTTTAAAACACAGGACTTTATTATATTAATGGCTGTATATACTGATACAAAAAAAAAAAGGACAATTTGCTTTCTTAACAACTGTCGCAAGGGGCCCACTTGACCCTCAATCTTCCAACTTTGGGATCTTCTCCCAATTCATCCCAAACAGCTTGCGTAAGATCCAAGCAGCCTGCATCGCAGCCAGGACAAGCATCGGTAATTGTAGCTACAGTAGTTCTTTCCTTGTACATGATTTTTATCTTCTTTCCACACCAGTGACTCTTTTTGTTAAGATCACCATAGTCATGAGCATTCTAATCAACAATGTGAGCTTTTGATAATAAAAAGTAATATGATATTGCTATTACCAAAGCAACAATGTGTGAATGTTTAGTGGCAAATGGTCCACAAGCACCTTGAGAACCGCCTTCTCTGACGGGATCAAAGAGAGTTGCTACACCATGGATAATCGAACCGACAAGAGCACCAAGGCCTCTCTTGTCATTCACAGGTTGAGCGGAGGCAAGAGTAGCCAAAAGAGCAAACAGGATACAAAGAAGGAATGAGTAGAGCTTCATCTTTGAGATGTTAAGAGAGAGAAAAAGATGATGTTCAAAGAGGAAAGGGGAGGTTGTGGTAATTTATAGCTGTCGTTTGTCATAAGGAGTTTAGTAATTATATCCTTTGGAGTAAGGGGTAGCGGGCAAAGAAAAAAGTTCAGTCAAGAAGAAATAAAAAAGTCAGGGTGATCTGTAAGGGGGGTGATTGGAACCGGATGGGCTGTTGGATGGAAGTTTTCCAAAGTCTTTTCTCTCTTGTCTTTTTTTATATATACAGAGTTGTGTGTTGAATGTATCCTAACAGTAAGGTTGAGCATTGATACGTGAATCTTTTGTCAATAAAAGAAAGCTAATGCCAGTCAAATTTACTTTGAATATTGTCAATCCACGTCTCCTTCCCCTGAGCATCCTTTCTCTATTTTCTAAATAAACAAACCTTTTTGTTTTTATTCTGCGTTTGCTTTCTGTATGCGATATCTGGTTCAAAAGAGAGAGAGAGTTTATTGTACCAAAAGGTAGGGTCCAGAAATGTAGCTTAAACGGACACCATCCTCTTTCTTTCCTCTTGAGGTAAACAAGCTTGACTCCTGTCTAACTTGTGTTCTACCTCTCCCCCTTCCCTCCCTTTGATTATATTTATTTTATAAAGTGCCATATATGATGAGATGGTAACAAGAAAAAATATGAGTAACTGCATGATGCTTAAAAAGGGGGGGATATTCTATGCCGAATGAAAATCATTGGGTAAATAGAACTGTTCTTTTTATCAACACGACCCAACAAAGAGCTTCAATTTCTGTTGTCGTTAATATAAAATCAATCAAAGTCACGCATAAGGAAAAAGAAACAAACATTGATTCCTGCGTTTCTTTTTTTTAATTTTGCAGAATGAATGCACAAAGACCATTATCAGACACTTGCCATTTTGATCTATCGGCTAAAATATTTGTACCTTCGAAAAAGCAGTTTGATCCCTTTGAAGTGAATGAAGCAAATGATGATCCAGATATGGACGAGCTGAGTCATCATTATTTGAATAGCAATTTATTAGATGAAGATGAACCACCTGTGTCAACAACAACAACAACAACAGCAGCAACAACAATACCAACAGCGACTAAAGGAGGAAATAACTTATTCATGTGGCAACAAGATGACTGGAAAGCAGCTCAAAAAGTAGAAGATATCTGGAAGCAGGATAAACTATCGTCTAGTGTGTGGGATAGCTTTGAACCCTATTCAAGAGGCAATGAGCAAGAATTTGATCCTACACTTCATTTCTATCATGGAGCACTTTATGACGCATCTACTATTGAGGATATGAATCTGCTCAAAGACAATTGTCCTTCTGCTGAGGAAACACAAGTCGAAAATGTAGGAGAAGATATGACTACACTTCAAATGCTTCAGACGATTTTTTCAGATCTGAGTGAACAAAAACTGATAGACACTTTAGAAAAAAATGATTATGATGTGGATAGAACGATTGAAGCCCTCTTGTCCAACACGACTAATGTGAAACCTAGCAATCATGATACCAAAAAGAGGCAAGTGTGTCGACACTTTCTGGCAGGCGAGTGTTATCGAAAGGACTGTTGGTTTGTGCATGATCTACAGGAAAAGGTGTGCAAATTCTGGTAGGTAAATCTATTGTTTTTACTTGTCGGACCGTTAGTCTAAATTCAGTCAGGTTACAAGGAGGTTGTTTGAAAGGCGAACTTTGTGAGTTTTCACACAATATTGACATTCAAGAGGTTGTGGCGAATAAGATAAATAGTAGCAAGCAATCACAGGTAAAGAATGATCGTACGAACGTATTAAATCCAAATGATTATCCTGCACTTGGCACAAGCGCCAAACCAACATCTATGAAATCCCAGTCGGCTAATGTTGTTGCAGAGGAAGAATTTCCTTCGCTTGCTGCAGCAAACAAGATCAAAAAGAGCGCACCACCACAATCAGTGACGAAAGCGATCAACTTTGCAGAAATCGCCAAGAAAAAGGCAAATACGCCAGCAGGGACGGTCAAAAAGAAGCAGGCAACGCCTCACCCTTATCAAAAACTGAGTTTGCAGAAATTAAAGCAACCCGTGCGTATCCCATGGCTTGAGACTGGCAGCTCACTTAATTCGATCTATATGAAAGAGGTAAGTTGAAGCACAGATAGGAAAAAAGGAGATACTAAAAATAGAAACACAGAGAGAAAAAGCGATTGAATATGGTACTTTACGAAACCGGTTGTTTGCTAAAGCAACAGAATATTACTTAAAAGGTGATGGAGCAAGGGCAAGACTGTACTCGATGGAGGCTAAACACTATAATAAGCTGATGCAAGAAATGCACACAGAAGCAAGTCGACGTATCTTTGAGCAAAGAAGTAAACATGAGGCATTTATTGATTTGCATGGTTTACATCAAGACGAAGCTATTGATATTATCGAAGAACAACTTCAGACGATGAGACAGAATAACTATACAGGTATTGTTTATATCGTCACAGGCACTGGTCACCATTCGGGAGCCAGTGGGCTAAGTAAAAAGATGAGCAAGCTGAAACCCTATGTGGAAGAATACTTGAGGCAAGAAAACTATCGCTTTGCTGAAACTAACATGGTGGGTGATACAAAGGGTGGGATCTTTGCTGTGGATCTCTCTTCAAAGAAATAATAAAAAGAAAAGGGAATCCTTTTTTCTAGTGTAAAAAGGGGAGTTTGTTTCATATCTATTATTTCTTTATCGGACATCTTATGCAAATGATGTAAGTCTCACCGGTTTTTTTTTCTGTTCTGCCTCTATTTTTGCCACAACAGGGGTCCGGTATGTACATTTTTATATTTTCAGACGAGCACGTTTTTTTTTCCTTCTAGTTTTCACATAGGGCCGCTTTTTGATTGTCACTTGAGTAATATTTTACCAATGAAGACAAGATTTTCAGGTTGGAAACGTTAGCTCAGGTACCAATAAAAATACGGAAACACTATTTGCCCTAGTTACAGACCAATGATAACGTATTTGATGACACAAAAGTTTTTGATCATTTTGTTATTCATACAAACAAATAAAGGTACACAAAAAAGGTAAGGGGGGAGCACACAGGAGAGATGTTAAACCCCCCAAATGAAATTTTTTTTTCTGTAAAACTTTATTCAAACCAAATTCAGGGTACACTGGGTGCCCCCAATATGATATCTTTCTGATTTTGTGTTACAAACTTACGTCATATATTTGGTATTCCGATCTCCTTAACGACGTCGTTATAAAAAGATATCTTGTTATTACTATTCTTTTTTTTTTTTTTCCTTTTTTTATAAAGATATAGATTAAAACATGGCTCAACCAACCGTATTTAATGCTTCCTACATTGAACCTACTGTTATGCATAACGGAAGTACTCTTTTGGAAAGAAGACAGCAGACGGCTCCTTTTCTGCAGCAATTAGAACTTCCCTCACTACCTCCTTTATCACAACTATTAACTACAGAAAAAAAGCAGCAAGAAAATATCCATACAGCCATTGCAAGTACTGCTGCTGCTATGGCAACATCCATCACTTCAACTGCACAGCCACTCATTCAACAGGATACAGGCGCCTTTTTACCAACAACCTCGGCTGTCTATGATACAAATACGATTCTACCTACGGAAGCCATTTTATATAACAATAACACCACGCTAGATCCTACCATGATTGACCCACCCATGTTTAATCTCATTTCATCGGGTCTTACCGACCCTCAACAATTGATGATGGGCAGACAGAGACAAACAAGTGTATCATCCAGTTCATCTGATAAGGTATACTCTTTTGTGGCTATCCCTGGCACAAACCAGAAAAAGAGACCTCGCCGAAGATATGATGAAATTGAACGTCTTTACCACTGCAACTATCCTGGTTGTACAAAATCCTATGGTACATTGAATCACTTAAACGCTCATGTGAGCATGCAGCAACATGTAAGTTTATTGAATATATAAAAATATAGTAATTTAGATAATTAAATATCCGATATTTCAAGGGACCTAAACGTCAGCCAAGTGAATTTAAGGAAATGCGTAAAGAGTGGAGACGTCAAAAGAAAGAGAGAGAGAATGCAAAAAAGGCAGCAGAAGCAGCAGCTCTCCAGCAACAACAACAACAACAGCAGCAGCAGCAGCAGCAATTCAATATGTTACCATACTCATTTCATCCTACTACATTAACCACCACAGCAACCCCCCTTGACAATTTTTATTAATCATTGTATATTCTCTCCTTTTGGCTCACCTCAAAAAAGAAAACAAAGCTTATGTGTACATTTTGTTATTTATATATATATCATATATAGAGATAAGCTGGTTTTATCTTTATTTTATGCTCTTCTTATTCTAGTTTTTTTTTTTCTGTATATGTTCTCTTATTTATATGAAGTCCGATTATTAAACAAAAAGAATTATGGTATTTTTTTATTTAAAAATAGAAAAAGTGGCTCTAAGAAAAAAAAAAAGATCGCCTTTCTTTTTTTGAATGATGATCGACACATTTTAAAGAGGTGGGACAGACCTTATTTTTAGTGAATTATTAGTATAAAGAATCATCAATGTAAAGAATCATGTCTGTGCACTTTGTTTACAAGTGAGCCTGTGTTGATCTTCTTTTTGGTTGAAACCCTTTTACTTTCAAGAGAAGCATTTATAATACAATTTATACATAAATCCCCGATTTACATTTTTAAATACAAAAGGCTGCGTACTCCTCTCAGAAACAGAGTCTTCCTAGAGCAAATGTTGTATTAGCAAGATGCTTTGTCACACAAGCCTTGGCGTTTGCTTTGGGTAAAAGTGTGACTCTATTCTTTGATTGCCTTCTTTTTCACAAGCTATGCACAAGTTTGGCACATGGTGCAGAGAAGAGAAAAGGTCTAGAAATCTTCTATTACTTTCTCCTTTCTCTCTCTCTCTCTTTTTTTT